TGATACTACACTCTCAAATATTGAAAATGCAAATGACTCCCAGGTTACCATATATCAATTATTGGATATTGTTGGTCATGACAATATAGATGAAATATAGTGTATTAAAATTAGAAATTTGCAAATTCCAAAGTATTATATTGTTCTCTTGAAGAATGATATCTATTTATATTTATGTCTCATAATAATTAAGCAAGTGATCATTTGCTGTCACTATTTTCAAATCATGTTAAATACTAATAAGGCTAGATTTCACATAAGACTCATTCCTTTTTGTTGGTATCAGAGTAACAAGGAAGTATCAAATAAATTATTCATCATTGCTGACAAATTTCTAGACAATTCATCTACATTATTACTAAAAAATAGGCCTCTAATCTATTTATATACTATTGATAATAACAAGAATAGCTCTGATTAATAGATGAATATTCTTGAGCAAAAATTGATATATAGTACTCTTCATAAAGTATACAAAGTAGTGTTGCAAAAGGCTCTAACAAATAAATCAAAATCACAATGTCTTGTCAAGGTTTTACAAGAATTTGTAGATGAGAATGATGAATCTGAAGAATTTTGTAATAATGAAAGTAGTTAGAATAATTTATCAAGTGATAAGAAAAATGACATTAATTTGTTTTGTTTACAGAATCAAAAAAAATGATGTGGTAAAAAAAGATCTTTAAATACAAAACATATTAAGTTATTTATTAAAAATAATCAAGATAATAGAAAGCAACAATGATATTGTAAAAAATATAGAAATTTGGATTACTATCAAAAGAATTGCAGTTCTTGAACAACAAGAATTGCAATTCTTAAATTTTACATTGTTCATTCATATGTTTGGTATTTTATTATAGTTTTATTTTGCATAATGGTTTTATATACTACAGTAAAACCTGTCAAATCTGATTCTGTTAAAACTGATAATCTGTCAAAACTGATAAAAAATTAATCCACCATGCTTGTTCTTTAAACCAAATCTAATAACCTGTCAAACCTAATAACTGATATTTAAAAAATTAAATATTTATAATATATTGAATTTGAAAGTTAATTTAAATTGATTTGATTAGCTCAAATTATATTTTGTATAACAAATTTATATATAATAAATATAATCTAACTAATCATAATCATTTATAATTATATAACTAGTAAATCATTAACCTTTCAAATCTAATAACCTATTAAATCTAATACAAATTTTGGCTACCATGCATATCAAATTTGACAGGTTATACTGTATTTTATATATAATTGTTGTATTGCTTGATTGTTTTATACTAATTATTTGTATGCATTAGCTTTGATTGATTTATTAGCATTGCTATATTTGCATTATGATATTATTAATTTATAATTATAGATTGGTTTAGATTATTTGATCTTATCAATTATTATTATCAAATTGTTCAGAGTTGGTAAAAAACTAGAAATTATCGTACTAATAGCATTTCTAACCTTATTTTTATATGTTTAGTTTAATTTTCGTAGTAGAATTAGATAGGACGGTCTCTGATATTTGGGTTGTATTATATATGTTATTGTAGTGACAATAGCATCTTGTATTTGTTATTTACAATAGATTTGGCAATAATGATATATAGCTTATATTATATAATCCAAATATGAAAAAACTATTTTGACTAATTCTTTGACTTTACTTAGTAATAAAACATATTAGTATAATATAAGAATTAATTATTAAATTAAATTTAAAGTATGAATTATATTTATTATATATATATTTTATTTATACAATATTATACATAATATAGAGCTAGTGATATATTGCTACTGTGATATATTATAAAAGCCATAATTAATTTAGCTTATAAAGTAATTAAAAATAGTTAAAAAAATTTTTTTGCTAGAAATAGTAATTGGATCCAGATAGGTGCTATCTAGATCATATACAAATGAATAAGTAATCTAGATAAAGTTTTGGTCACTCAAATAGAAGCAGATAAGTTATCTAACAGATAACCTGTGAATAATAATTGTAACTTTAATTCAAATATGTATTTATATATATTAATTGTTTTTTTTTCTTAATTGGCAATCTGCGAGTTACCTGAAGAGTAGTCATAGTAAAATATAATACAGATTACTTATTAATTTTGTCAATACTTTATTAGACTTAATATATTTAGACTACACTATATATAATTTAATTAAGCAATTGCTTAATTTATCTAAATTACAAGTGTTAACTAACTTGGTTACTTAATGAGTATCTATATCTGATCTGCTATAGTAGTGTTTATCTCAAAACTACTCATTTTTGTAATTAAAACAAATAATATATCACTGAATAAATCTATGGTCTATTAAGATTGCAAATTTTCTTTAAATTTCATCTCTTCTAATTACAAGAGCAAAAAAATTTCACAATTCTTGCCTAAAGAATAACAAGATAAAAAAAACTATACTAAAAGAAAGATAAAAAAAAAAAGATGATAATACTATAAAACCTAAACAAAGACCAAATAAAACAAAAAAAAATAAAAATAATAAAAAGAAGAAAAAAGCAAAGAAAAAAAAAACAAAACAAGATAACACTATTATTGTCTATACAAAACATAAAATTATATAATATTCTATAAAGAAAACTCTGTATTATCTTTATCTCTATATTATAATATACTTTGTTATATTGTGAGAAATATTTAAAATTTTTATTTTCTTCAAAAGGTCTAACATATTATTTATTGTAGATTCTGTATATAGAGTCATAACTTTCTTATAAAATGTATTCTCAATTTGAACAAGTAAATAGTGTTGATTCTTTAGAAGAAATATGCCAAATTTTTTACTTTTTGGTAAAAATTTTAACAAGAAAAAATCTACTAAGAGAAGATATAAAAAACTAACTTATAAAGAACTTGAAGAAGTTACACTATAAAGAATACTATATCTAACTAAGTATCTACTTCTGCTAATATTTCTGTAGTACTTAACAAAGCTTCAGAGCTTGTTTGCTACTTCTTTGCTTGGTAGTATAAGAGATTTCTGCCAAAAAACCTTACTTATAAGAGTGACTCTTTTTAACTTTATTTTAGTTATAACTAATATGCAGTAAATAGACTCTAGTTCCAGCTGCTACAAGTAGAGTTTTGTTGTATTTTGATATAATAACTATATAGTTTTCATAGGTTGGATGTTTTGAAAATTTGGTATAAAAGATTTTAGAAAGAGTTGTATATATTATGATAGTACAAATTATAATTAGTAATTATATAGAGATTTAAAAGATATATAAATACTGTTTTTTTACCCAAAGCAGGGTAGATTCTGTTTAGATTTTAATTTGTATTTTCTTAACCTTTTAACTAATAAACAAATATTATTCTTTTGTCTTTATATTTATTATATTATATACTTTCTTTTATTGCTCTTTTGTTATATTTTGTTATTTCTTTTTATTGCCTTCTGTCTTGATTCTATTGTCTTTTATTGCCTTTTTTTACTACCTTCTATCTTGGTTTTATTATTTTTTTTGTAGTTTTTCTTCTTTTCTTCTATATTTTTATACCATATATTTTATATTCCTTATTTTTTAGTTTTCTTTTCTTTCTTCTTCTTTTTTCTCTTTTATTCATATTTCTTACTCTCTGTATATAGTATAGTTAACAAGGCTAATTATTTATATTACAATACTGTATATAATACATTATACTTTTTTAAAACTAATCCTGTCAAAACTAATAACCTGCTATAACCAATAAAAATTTATTTATCATGTTTATTTTATAATTAAAATCCAATAATCTGCTATTCTGATAACTAATATTCAAAAGATTATATATTTATAAGATATTAGTTTTGACAGATAATATATATAAATCAATTTAATTGATCTAGATAGGGTTTTATATAACAAATTATATATATAAGAACTATTATTTAGACAATTATATTTATTTGTAATTATGTAATAGCAGGCTATCAGTATTTTAAATCCAATAACCTCTCAAAACTAATACAAAACCTGTCCACCATGCGTATCAGATTTGAGAAGGTGTACTTAGTGTTGTACATTGGACATGTTTTTTGTCCAATGTCCAAAATTGTCCAAGCCTACGTCCAAGGTTTAAATAAATTTAATAAATATATAATTATATATTTTTCAGATGCTGGATTCATTTTTAAAAGAATTAAAATAAATTATTTTAATAAAATTTTAAG